GTTTCCCTATTTCTAATAATGGTATCCCTAGGATAATAGGTGCGGACTCATCTGCTTCACAATCCAGAACAATAAAGTCAGCGGGAAAAATAAAACTTATCAATTCTTACCGTTATGTCTTCAATTTTTCCCTCTGTATGCACATATGATATGTCTACAAGTTGTAGCATAATTGTCGTAGGTCTTGTTTTCCCGATACCTAACTTTTAGAAAACTCGTTTAGGCATAATATTTATTCTTCTTCCAAGATCACATAGTTCTTTATTAATATAGTGATCACCAATTGCACAGGGTATGGTGAAACTGCCTGGATCCTTCAATTTGGCTAGCATTCAATTGTGCAATATGGCCATGCATCCCTCCGTCACAACAACTATTTTAAATTCACCTAGGCATTTTCTCTTAGAGATGATGACCTTAAGGAACTTGGCATAATTCGATATCTGCTCAATTTCCTCAACCAAAGACAAGTTGATGTGGACTTACTTCAAGATATCTAAGAATTTCTTGAATTGGTACTCTTATTTTCACCCTTTTAGCCATTGAGGGAATGGTGGTAGAATTTTAAACTCCTATTCCTTCTTGTTTGGTTGGAATTTGGCATATGGTCTTGCCATACTATCTGAAGTTGCTGAGGCATGTGGACTTGCCAGGGAAATTGTTGGTTCATCAATGTCAACTAGGGCATTCTTATTGGATTAATCCTTCTGAGCTCGGTTTGTCCTGCTTGTCGATTTTTCCCAGTGGGTTGTGTAAGGGTCTCAAGTAACTCAAAACCACTCTGAGTGGTGGTTTCCTTGCACTGTTCATGGCCTAATCCTTTTTTGACCTCAGTATCATCGGGTAAACCACCTACTGGTCTTGTGTTCAAATTCTAGACAAGTTGTTCAACCTATGTCTCCAAGGATTTCCAGGTTGCCTCTTGGTTCTGCAGTCTCATTTCAATCCTGTTAATGAAAACGCCAGTTCTTTTCCTAAAAATAATATTCTCAACCATGTAAGATTCATTTTTTAACATAAAAGATTTGAGAGTATTTTCTAAAGAACTAGACGATGTTGATTGTTGTTGCGGCATCTGTTACCTTAGCACATTATGTTGTAATCCTTATGCTAGATTATTCTAATTGAGAGCATTGTTCAAGTTCCTCCATGAGAAATTAGGGTGTTCCCTCCAGGCTGGTGTGTATGTGTTGGACATCACATTGTTGTTTCGGTTGTAGTTTCCAACATCGAAGTTAGATTATGGGTTCTATGGACACTCAAAAGAACCATGATTATCGTTACATAACTCACAAAAGGAATTTACTACCTTTATTGCTTGTGGATTGCTATGTCGATGCATATTCTTAACCAAGTTGGTTAAGGTAGCCAATTGTGTGGAGATAGTGTCCCTTGAAACAAGCTTATTTATCTTGGCATTACGTCGGACTCATCCTCTTCTAGTAATTGAGAACTGATAGTCATTCTTGGCAAGATGGTTCAGGATCTCTATTGCTTTTTTCGGTGATTTGTCGAGGAGTATGTCATTTGTCGAGGTATCTAGCATCATCCTAGTTGGTGTGTTTATCGAATTATAAAACCTCGTCACTTGTGTCCATACCAGGAATTCATGCATGGGACATCTACGCAAAAGGTCCCTGTAACGTTCCCAATATTCGTACATGGATTCATCATCTGCTTGTCAAAAAGAAATAATATCATTAAGCAATTTATCAGTTATAGTTGTAGAACTAAATCTAGCAAGAAAATCACGACATAAACTATTTTCATTTTTAAACGTAGAAATTATTTTCTTGTATTTGAAATTTATGGTTTCAAATTCCAAAATTAATTTATCATATGCATCTTGTAAATCATCAAAAGAATATGAATTTAATTCATTTGAGTTAGAAGATACATTTGAATATTCTTGAATGGTCATGGGACAAAGGTTGACTAATTCATCAGCTTCATCATTGTAGACATCATCATCACTCCAGGTAGCCACAACAATATTTTTCTTTTGTTTGCTAGATCACTTCTTCTTTGATAGAGGACAATCGTATCTGACATGTCCCAATCTTTGGCATTTGAAGAAAATAGGGAGACCTTTTTCTTGCTTCAAATTCATGTCTTAATTCAATGCTTTTAGACTTCATGAATCTTTTGAATCTTCTAGCAAACTTGACCATCTCTTCATCATCATCTTCATTTGAATTGATTTCTTTTTGTGTAAAGTATTTTTAAAGCAACACTCATTTATTTCTTTTCATCTTTCATCTCTTCTTCTTGTTCCTCCTTTTTTGCCTTCAACTAATGAGTGAGGAAAGAACCAATAAGCTAATCAAGAGTGAGAGATTTTAGGTTTTTTTCTTCAATGACAATCTTCTTCCTTGATTGCCAAGACTTTGGAAGAGAATAAATCATATTCTTGATGAGTTTTTCATAAGGGATGGTTTCTCCATATCCCTTGATATCGTTGAAAATCACAAAGAATATATATTATAGCTTTGACATTTTCATCTGATTTGATCTTGAAGTTCTCATAAAAAGGGTTGAGAAGGTCGATTTTAGTTTCCATCACTTCACTGGTTCCTTCATGAGTGACTGAGAGTTTTTCTCAAATATCCTTGTAATTTAAACAAGAGGAAACTATTTCATAAAATAAAATAAGATATGCATGGCTTTTGCAATGAGTTGAAAGTTTTTCTTCATTCCAAACATACATCTCATTGGTTGGAGTAGTAAAATCCTTCATGATGGAGTTCTAAGCTCCTAGATCATTTGCATGAATGAAGAGATTAGTCCTATTCTTCTAATGTGATAGTTTGCTTAATTGAAATAAGGTGGCTTGTTGACCAGTTGTGAATCTTTGATGTAACAAGAGTCAGAGGTTGAAGCCTCTCTTGCGCCTAAAGTGAAAATTGCTAGAGCTCTTCAAAGATCATCTCAATAGGTTCTTAAAACTTCAAATGAGTCAAGATCTAATAACAATTTTAAGCTGTATGGATCAACCAAAAATCGCCAAAAGGTGGTGAACTGCCTTTTATAAATTTTAGTGTAAGCTTGAACAAAAAATAAAACTTTTTTACAATTGATTTATAGTAGTTTAGCTTTCTCAACCAAAGTCTAGATCTACTACCTTAGCTCTCCACCACTAAGGATTTCCCAATTCACTCATTTGAATTGAAATTTTCAAGGACAATGTTTAACCTTTACAACTCTATCTTTCCAATGACCAAGATATAATCACTCTAATTTTTCTAAGACTAAAGTATAAACTCTCCCCTTTTACAATGTTGATTTGTGTTTACAAAGATTTAGGCTCATAAATAATTAATAAAAATATATTAAATAAGACTCAAGACACTATGTAAAGAGAAAAAAAAATGAAGAAATTGAGAATGAAAACTCTTTTCTCCATATCTTTTAGCGATAGATGTAGTAAACTTTGTAAAGTTTTCTTGGAGAGTTTTATAGTATGAAATGAGTTTCTAGTCATTTATGACTGTTGGGATGAATTATAGCCGTTTTGATGCTGCAGTTTCAACTACCACGAGTACTGATTCAATTGGCGGTGTCCTTGGAGAACATGAAAAATGGTAGGGTTTTGGGGTACAACAAAGGCATCGAGATCAAATTTGCAATGTTGCTCACAATGTTATTTATAATTACGGATAGAAATAGGATCAAATATTGAGAGAAGAAGAAAAATCTAAATTTAAATTAATAAAAAATTATTAAGTATTTAATTTAAAATTTTTAAAGGAGACAAGAATTTAATTTTGCGTATATTTAAACTGATAACACAACCTAGAATGTTATTAGATTAAAATTTTTGGGAGGGGTCTCCTTCTCTATATACATATGTTATTATTGTGCATAACGTTATAACAATCCGTAAACACCTTCAATATTATAAACAAATTTTATGTTTAAAAAAATAAAGAAAATGAAAAGCCTGAAAGAGATACTACAACCATTTTAATTGTTACAAGTTTTATGTTTAGAAAAAAATAAAAATAAAATTGAAAAATGAAGTCCGAAATCGATACCACAACTATTTCAATTGTAACAAGGTTTATGTTTAGAACACAGGTAACATGCTAGCTCACTAGGCCTAGCATCCCTACTCAAATTGTTGCAACTTAATCTGTATCTTCACACATAGCAAAAGGCAAAAACTTATTTTTGGACCATTTTAATTTCTCTAGTTTGAATAAATAAACAAATTTATATTGATGTGGTTGGTTAAAAAAAGGAGGGGAAGTTAGTTAACGTAAAGGAAACAAATAATATTTTGGCAATTCAATTGGCTGGCACCACCACTAAATTAAACAAGAGAGAAGGAGGAGGAGAAGAAGATTGAAATGGCATATAGGAGAAGGCATGCATTAATCAAATCGGCGACATTCAAGGAAGAGATCGACCACTCGCCTGTAGCAGCCGCCGCCGCAGACACCTTCAAAGCCAAAACATTAACCCCTTCCCATTCTTTCTCTGCTACATCTAAGGTACCGTATATTTCATTTCAGATAAGATAAGAAATCATCTCTCTTTTGTCTCATTTCATTTAACCATATATCTTGATGAGAAATGATCTGTTTTGTAGTGTATGTTATTGGCGTTTTAATCAGAATTCTCTCCACATGCTCATTTTAATTCATTTTTATGTGCCTAAATCATGGAACTTTGTGGTCTAATTCCTTGTTGAGATGCTTAATTGTAGGGGTTCAATGCCTTTGAAGATTCAAGAAATGAATCCAAAGGGTTCTGGGGTGTTCTGGCTAGGAAAGCCAAAGCCATTCTCGAGGAAGACGACGACTTCTCTGAGCCTTACGAAACCGAAACACCTCGTGGTGTCGGATCATCGCCTCTGTCAGATGCCTCAACAACTTCCCATGGCCAGGTGACTCGTTTTTTTATTTAGTTCTATATTGGTTGGGGCCAAGACAACTTATCATGAGAGGAAAATTATGATCATACACATTAATTTTGCTATATACCAATGCTTCTTGTAGGGCCATGGAAGAATCGAGAGTCCTCGAATACGAAGGGGCTCGGATAAGCTCAACACTTCCCTTAATCACATAGGTGATACATTTGAGGTGAGAGCATCTGAAGTTGAGTGCTTTTGGGATACAAATCCTCTAATCTCATGAGTTTCTTTTATTGCTTTTCACCTACTCTGCATTAGTGAACAAACTGAGTGCTACATTTGCAGGATGGTCGAACCATAGTGGGAAGTAAAACCCATGATATCATCCAAGAAACGCGCAATCTTAAAATCCGGAGGAAAGGGAGCAGTCCCAGGGCAGAAAATCAGGTTCACGGTCTAAATTGCACGTTGCAGCAACCGACACAACTCCAAATTCAAACCAACAATCAAAACCAGATCAAGGCATCTCGCGACGTATGGTGGCAAACTTTTGTCTCATTGAATCATATGGAGGAAGCATCGATTTCAGTACTTCTTTAGGTCATTCATGTGTCCATAATAAAGTTAGATGTAGGTTGCATTATAGGAAATTGCATTCAAGTCTGCATTATGGCTGAAGCTCAAGTAGATTACATATGAGAATGCAATTAAGATATCGGCTTCACAGGTTGCGATGGCCACGGCAGCTAAAGCGAAACTGCTTCTCCGGGAGCTGAAATCTGTTAAAGAAGATTTAGCATTCGCAAAGGAACGATGTGCTCAACTAGAAGAGGAAAACAAGATCCTTCGGGAGTGTAGGGAGAAAGGGGATATTCCTGAAGATGATGATTTGGTAAACAGATGTATACCCATACCTTTCCATCATGCACAATTAACAGCAATAATTAACAACGTTTTGAACATATGATGATCATGTCAGATTCGGTTCCAACTAGAGAGTCTGTTGGCAGAAAAGGCACGTTTGGCGCATGAGAACTCAATATACGCGAGAGAGAACCGGTTTCTAAGGGAAGTAGTGGAGTATCACCAACTGAGCATGCAGGACCTAATGTACTTATACGAGGGAGTTGAAGAAGTTACAGAAGTTGGATATCCCTTTAATTTCCCTTACTCAAGCATGCTCTGTGAATCCCCGACGTCGCTGTCGGAGGTGGCGGAGCTCAGCCCTCCATCTTTGGCATCTAAGGAGGGGACCATGAATATCACTAGTCCGCCACTCGAAGCCGATAATGTAGCCAACTGGGAACTGATCCTATCCCACCATCAGCATCTAATCATGGAAGAGAAACACCACCATCGGAATCTTCTTCCTTGTTTAGTTTTTTTCCTTTATATTTGTGTTAAGTGACTTTTGTAGCATGTGTTTGATTTGAACTCTTTCTTTTTGTTCTTATTATGGTTTATAATCTTAATAAAGGGTGATGTAGGAAGGAGGGACCCTGTATATTCTTGATTCATTTCTTTTACTGAAGGATTTGTGTGTGTTTAATTGTGCATGCATGGCTTTTGTCCACGATTAAATAAGAAAATTAAACATTTCTCCAGTGCACTTGAACAACTTCTTATTTTATATAAATTATGTTATACCTCTTTCGTTGTCACTTTACTGTATACTTTCGTATTGTTGTCATTCTTATCCATGAAGAATATCGAGTACTTCGAATTCTTTTTAGGATATCACATGACTTTTTAGAGGTAATCTCGTCATTGTCTCCAGTTTATTATAGTCCCTATATAACTGTTGTCAATCTCGTTACAGATTAAATCTATCGTTTAACAGTCGAATATGCTCACATGCAAACTCATCAATAACCATCAACTATAAGATTAACACCAACCATTCTACTGTCTAGTTCCAGAGATATACATACTCTTACAAACAAAGCTGAAAGCTAAAACTTTAACCATATGTCTATTCATCTTTTTCTTTAATTCATTTTTTTTCTTCTTTTTTGAATATTACCATCGATTACGATTGCCCACTAATTCTAAATAGGATAACCGCCTAACACCACTACTTTCTATTCAAACCATTAAAAATCCTATAATTTATAAGTTTAATTTCATTTAATTTAAAACCATTAAAAATTCCTATAATTTATAAGCTTTATTTGATTTGATTTAAATTTATTTTATTTATCTGTCCCATTTTGCTTTGATATAAATCCTAACAAACAACCTTTACAAATTTAAAGTCTGGGATAATTTTAAAAGATTTTATATTTAAATAATAATTTATATAAATTTGTCTTAGTTAATTTTATATTTTAAATTTAATCTTAGTTAATAATCTTAATTCTAATTATGATTATTAGAATTGTAATGTTTTTATTAGTATTGAATTCTACGGCATCAAATGTATCGCCTTTTCGAACACAACTTATAAGACTCATTGCGTTAGGGTTTCTATGCTTCGTGGCTCGTTCTATCTCTACCATTTTTTGAAAGTTTTTTGAATCGTCTCAGTAAACTAGTTTTTGCTACTCTAGTTTTTTGTGTATATGTTCTGTGTAGTTATAGGTAGGGTTGGACATGGGTCGGATTGGGTCGGATTTTTGGTCCATTTGACACAATCCGAAAATAAGGAATCATCCACCCGTGATCCGACCGACCCGATCTGATATAAAACTTAAAAATCCGACCGACCCGAAATAATAATAAAAATATTATTTTTATTCAATAAAAATAGTGACTTAATTGAAAAAATAATATATAGAGATGTATTATTTAATTATTCGTAAATATATAAATAAAATTATATATTTTTTCGGATCGGGTTGGGTCAGAAACCGTCGGATTCGGGTCCCATGCCCATACCTAGTTATAGGATTATGGGGGAGATTGAGCAAGATTTAGAAAATCTCCAAATGGGGGAGGAGGAGGAAGAAGCGGTGACCATAGAACAATCGGACAATCCAAAACCAATTTCTTTTGAACACTAATTTGTTGGCAGATTTCTTACATCAGGCATGGTCAATTTTCAGGCCATGAGAATCACGTTGGCAAACGTTTAGCATCCGATTGGGGGAATTTCTATCATTGAATTAGGGAAGAGGCGTTACTTCTTTTTAGTTATACCATGAGATGGATGCGAATCGATTAGTTGTCGATGGTCTGTGGTATTTTAATTCTTATCTACTAATTCTTCACCGATTGCAGAACCAAGAGGATTTGATGCTAGTGGCCTTAGGAAGGGTAGACTTTTGGATTCTTGTTAATGATTTACTGGTGGGTTACATATCAGAACAGGTGGCAAGACAGTTTGAAAACTTTATTGGCTCTTTTGTGGAGTATGACACTAGTGTCATTACTTTGGGATATCGGGGTTTCATTCGAATGAGGTGGGAATCGATGTTCTCTAATGATTAGTGCTTAAATTAATTAATATTTTGTTGATGATTACTCCTAGATTAGTCGATTTAGGTTGTTGAGTTGGGCATTTTCATTCATTTTCTATATAGGGCAGTGAATTATAGAAATGGTGTTAAAATAGATGAAATTCTTTGACTTTTTATTTTCTAGAATCAAGGCCGACTTAGTACGCATGAATTGGAGCATGATTTTGTCCAACGTGACATCTAGTTAGCACTTTCTAGAAGGTCCAGTCAGCATTCTCATGGAGACAGAAGGCTTAACCGCACATCTAAAGTTTAAATTATGATTTTTCTTTATTTTTAAGAATTATCTTTTATTTTTAGGATTAAGTTTGAATATTTTCCAAGAATTATCTTTTGTAATTTCTTTCTACAATTTTAGGGTTTTAGGATAGTATAAATACGCCATTAGGGTGAACTGAAAATCATATATCTCATCTCTTGAATTCTTTTGTTCCTTTTCTTAGTTTTTATGAAATTACTTTTCTTTTTAATTTTTCTTTTCTTTATTTTTCTTTTCAAGTTTTCTTTACTTTTAAAATGCTAAGTATGGTTTCTACCATGCTTAGCTAAGTTTTTCATAAGTTAAAGGATGAAGCGATGACTCAATTCCGATGTGATAATTGAAAAGCACTTCATACCCTTTGGGTTACATTTTTAGTTTTCTGGAAACAAGGATAGGCAATCAGTCATCCTTTTATAATCAAAAACATTTTCTTTTTAAAAAAGTGCACATTGGATTGATTACGATGTCGATTAACATTTGGGAGGAAGGATTGACTTGTAGCATATTGACTTTTGTGAACACACTTAGTGACGATCCGTTAAGGGAAATTAAATCGGGTTCAATTCTCATTGAGAAGTTATAATTCGAGTCGGGGTTTTCCAAAACTAAAACGGAGTTGGATTTAACAAACAAATGCCATGGTTAGTCCACATAAGGATTATGATCCAAAGATTGATTTTGGATGATCGGTTAATTGAGAGAAAAATAAGTTACAGGGGTTGAGACTATGGACTGTAACTGTAACACCCCTAACCCGTATCCGACCCGGATAAGAATCCGAGGTGTCACATTGACTAGTCAAAACATGTACTTTTATAAAAACCATAGAAAATTTAAAACTTTCATTCTATAAAGTTATTCTTTTACATAAACATGTTCAAACCATTACCAAACCTCATCAGAGTGTACATAATAAATGACTTTGTTTACATGCCAACATACTAAATTATATAACAAGACATACTTCACAAAATATTTCTGATCTAATCTACGAGTGGAGGTATGCTGCTCCGCTGGTCCTAAACTTGATCCTTTTGCTTATCAACACCTACGTGTAAGACACTTACACGCTAAGTCATAAACATAGTGAGACATGTAAATACATATATATACTAACAACTAACAAATATATGTACATATCATATAATACAACCTCATACTGGTATACATACTTAAACCATCATTAACATGTTTATCATTACATATTTTATTATCCCTAATTCATTTTTATCATATAGCATATACTTGACATAAACATATAACATAAACTCTAACTAACCACAATGCATGAATCATTACTAGTATCATATCATACATAATCACATATCATTTCATATAACCAATACACATATGCTTATTATTATTATCATTAACTCATTATTTATATACATCATATAGCACAATACCATTTCACAATAGAGCACACATATTATCATCACAAGTTATTTATTATCTTTAAAGTCCATGTATACTTTTGAGAACTTAAGGTATGTGAGTACATAGAGCTTGTGCACATATGCTATCACCACAACTCGTAATATTCCCACTAGGGGCGCGTAGAATTTATCCCGAAAGACCACTATGTCCTGAAGGACCACATAGAACACATATGTCCTGAAGGACCACATAGAACCCTCGACTCTTGGCAAGCCAACTATACCCCTAGCTCTCATAACACATATCATGGCATTATTATTTATGTTATCATAACTTCACATATTCATATCATATACACATATCATGGCTTCTTATCACATATATCGTGTAATACTCACTTGGAGTTTCATATCTTCTTATCACATATCTCATATCACGTTTTCATATGATTTTGTATTCACATATCCCTAGGCTTGTTTCTTGTTCTTATATCTTCTCATATACATGTAAACAAATATTTTCTCATCTTATAATTTATATTACATATGCATGTAATCTTATGACTTATTATCGAGTAACTAAGGTATCATTCTTGTATTGTTTCATAAATCATTTTCATATAACACATATCACATAAATTCATGTTACATAACATGTAATGCAAACGAGGCACATTCACATAATACACAATCCTAATCATGCTTCGACTCATACTATCATATATTCATATAAATCACCTACATGTAATATATACTAGGCATATTCACACATACATGTATTCATACATATCACATATACAAATGTACTTACCTTTAACATATACATGAACTCAAAAACATCTAATCCTCGTATCCTTTTATACTTATATTCATATACTATGCAACCTAATATAGGAATTAGACTTATCACTAGTCTTAATTCCATAGCACAACTTACTCTTATCATCATGTACTCACTTGGGTCTCAATGGACACTACCAATCTCTTGTTCTCTCTTGCGAATCTTACTTTGACAACCTTTCATAACTTTGTTTCCGATCGATATCTACACGAGTACGAAATTTAATTAATATCGATATTCGAATTACTTGATATGATCCATTTTAATACAAAAACAAATAAAACTTCAATTCCAACTTTTCAAACTTAAGTGGTATAGGTACCACCCTCAAGGTGTCGATACCTCTATGCTAGGGTACCGATACCCCACCCAGGTATTGATACCAATATTAGCTTTGAAATTTCCCAGGTATCGATATCCTCCACATAGGTATCGATACCTCTTCCATATGGTACCGATACTATTCATACA